CCACACTCACTGGTATTTTCCTACAACCATTTGTTCCACTCTGAAACGATTCGGTTTAAAGAAAACTCTGTTTTGCATTTTTCACAGTTGATGCAGTCTTCTGCTTGCTTTGTAAGAAATAAGACGGTTGATTTTTTCGCATGTTTCCAGAAAACTCAAATTTGATGAATTCAGCCAAACCAGCTGCGCTTTGCCATCGTCCGTTAAGTTCATCATGCAATGACCGACAATTGTGACTTGTTTTATCACGAGCAGCGAGAGATCAACGTCAAAGCTGTCGACTTTCCCCATCTCTCAGACACAAAAGCTATTGGGGAATGTGTGTGTTATGATCATCTATTACAATTGGACACAATTTCGTCCGGTACACATGTAAATGCACATTGTCCATGGGCTGTATGAACATGACGTGGGAAAACATTTATACAAAAATGGACTGACAGAGGAGGATCTCTGCCCTATTCGCCCAGAACTCCAGATTTGTCCCATTTGCTTTTTTCTTGTATAACCGACTGAAGTTTGTTGTTCATACAATCCTCAAAGAAATTGAAAGAAAATGCCAATTGTATGGTAAAACATTCACATGGATAAGCCGCGGAGGTTTGCATACATCTAATAATGTAACTTACCAGATGTGTTGAGAAGGAAGGACAGTTGGCAAAGTATTCAAAATCGGTTTTCGTAGCTTGGATGAACTGAATTCTATTTCGCCTGTTAGCTGAGGTTGACAAACGTTTGCAAACCAATTGCCAAGCTCGGCGAACAGGCGAAATAGAACGAAGGACAGTGCTTTGAAACTCTGCTCTATTTTTACTATTTATGGACAACATTCCTTACCATAGCCAAGCCGCAGTGTTTTCGAACGTCAAATTTGTAGGGCTACCTCCGAACTGTTCTTCAATGTTACAACCAATGGATCAGGGCGTGATTTGGTCTTTCAAATGTTCGTTTTGGGAGCATTTACTGGGGTATGTTTTGTTTTCAATCGAAGATGAGCAACTTATCATGAAAGCCGAGGTACTATTTTTTGCAATTCTGTGGCGCACTGCACTGAACTGTGGAGCACTCGAATGTGGTCAGTTTTTCTACAGTGGTCACCAAAGCCACCGTCATTCGGTGTATCGATGGCTTCTGTCGCACTAACGTGCAAACGGGTGAACGACAATCGCGATTGGCTAGAAAGCGGGTGAGTGGGTGAGATGTCAGATCCGAGCGGTTGATAACCACCGTCGCGCGGACGCGCCTGTATGAATGAATAAGTGATACTCTCACTTATCCTAGATCACCGATGAAATTAGACAGGTCATTGTGACCCGGATCTAAAGACAGCACTTTTAGTGTACGAATCGGTAATTGATTGAGAGTTGCCGTAATTCCTGTAGACTGACGTCTATGGCCTTCGGTTGGCTGAACACGAGTGAATTTCTTCCAAGTAAACTCCCGTCTCATGCCCGCCGGAAAATTTGCGCGAGAACCCGCCTGAAAAATGATGCGTGTATCTTAGGCGAGTCAAACGTTGGCCTAGTGTCATCATTGCTTGAACTTTTCATTCCGAATCTTCCACATGTCGCATCGTTCCACAACCGATTCTCCCTTGGTGATTCTCTACCAACACTTAAGCAGCATCGGATTCAGAACTTATCCTCCTCCTATGCCACCCCAAAAATCAGACGGCCGATCGGGTTCATTTATCGATCGGTTGTATAGGTCACCGCAACACGGGACCTGGGCTTGCCCACTTAACCCGAGCGAGAAGCCACACCTTGCATACAGTCGCGAGTCTTTAGCAGACCCCGTGAACTTCGGCTGGACACTCATTTCAGATGTTATTTCCTTCTCACTGTATTCGAACTGGTTCAACCTTTGTTTTCTTTGAATGTGTTGATAATGATAAGATTATTATAGCTAGAACAGTTGTATTTTATGGTGGTCGTCATATAATCAATTCTGTGGTTAGGCTAACGTATGACGGAATGGTTGAATATCTAAAATTAATATGGGATAATTGGGTCAGAAGAAGTTCCCCTGAAGAAAGGTAGGTGGTTTCCGAATAACTAGACACGTAGAATTGAAAAAGGGCTAAATACCGCATGGAAGATTGTCATAAAATGTTTAAATCTTTTCGGTACATAAAGGATACGCAAGACGGTAGATCTAAATTGCGCTTTAAATGAACAGTTTATAATTATAAACATTGGGAAAAACTAACGGAATTAACCTACTTTTCTTCGATCCGGTTTATTTTGTTACTAAACTGTCAACTTATTGGCATCTAGTACTGTTAACCGTGCTATGTCGCAGTTCCTGGAATTTACCCACTTTTCCGAATTCCCGAGGAGTGCGACATAGCAGGAGATTGACTGTATTTTGAAGCCGTGTTCCATCCGCTTATTGATTATAGTTCGAGTTCTTTCAATCTTTCGTCTTCACCTCTTGTTTTTCTTCCTCATTTACAGTCTGTCATTTCGACTGCGCAACAGCACGAGTTACTCATCACTCGGTTGCGTGGACTTTGTCACGAATGGACTGAGTTCTGTGACCAAGAAGTTGTTCTACAAATGGGTGGAGATGATAGGGCGGACAGTGTGGCTGCAGCTGTTGCCTCTCGAACGGCAGCAAATAGTTCCGCCGCGGCTGGTGTTTTGGCTTCTACGGGTCAGGTTGGCGGAAAAGTGGTTGTACGCGTTCGGAAAAGTCTGAATGCGGAACGACGGCTGTCCTATGTGCGGTATTTGGGTGCGGTTGAGACAGACAAATTGGTGAGTGCAATGAATGCACCCATGGCTTTTTACTAATATATTTACATGAATCTGCGGGTTTTCCCCGTCTTCTTTGTTTTTCTAGTAGTCATAAGTATATGGAGCATCACGAGCCTAAAATGATGTATTTGAAACTCATAAGTATCATTATGGTTTCCACCAACCCGTCTGCACTGAGTGAAGTCCTTTAAGACATCACACGTGTTCGGTGCACATTTTTATACGCTATTTCTCATCCCATCTTAAGGACTTCTGATTACAGAGAGGATGGAATACTTAAGGATTCTCCGTAAGGAACTTCGACGCCATCTAGACTATCGACAATCCCTGAAGTCTCTGTTTAAATATTTATTTTATGGTATGGTATTTACTTAACAAGTGCACCAGCTTACCGACCGGGATCTTACGCGTCACAACCTGCCTATTCCTAGCAGTTGGTCTTTCCTCTATTTGTTTCAATTGCTCCAGTAGATGTGGTTTACAAGTTTCTTGGTTGTCGCTAAGGTGTCGAAGCTCAAATAAATTGTTTATCTGAGAGAAAACCAATTTTTCTTTCACTGGATTTTCAACGTCAAGCACAGATGAATTGGATTATGATTGTTCATCACCGGTGTGGAATTGTTTATTTATGATGCGCCTGTTGGTCCGTTTTTGTCCATTCTAATCGTGCTTACATCACTGCAAGCACAAAATATACCCTACTTGGTTTAAAGTTCACAATTTTGTGCAAACTTTATTTAGCTGTCACCCGTGTAATCGTCAACGCAAAAACTCACTATACATTGTTTACAAAACAAAACGCCATTGATATATTTATGAGTTCACCGATGAGGCCCAACCGAATCGATTTATTTTTGCGGAACGATTGAATTGAGTTTCCACAAAACCATTACTCTGAATACTGCACTCAAAACTCTGAGGTGACTTTCCGAAAATGAGTTCAATCGCGAAGTGCAGGGAGATGAAGAAGGTTGTAGCGATAATCGAATTCGAAATCCGTCTATCTAATAAGATTTACGGGTCTGTGGAATCCCGACAAAAATGAGGAGTTTTGTTGTTCATTGGTTCGTTCTCAAGAATGCTGTTTGAAGTGTTCAATTAATAGACCCTTTAAAAATTGATCTTCGCATTCGGCTCACAGTTACTAGCGAGTAGTGGGTGGGCTAATTGATATTGATTGACTTGACTGACTATCCTTCGGAATTCACATCCACACACAATCCTCAGTTCGTCGATTCAACCATACACTCGGGAGCACTAGACTCGAGTTCCGCTCTTATTATAACTCATCAGTATTGCATATCCACCGTCCTGTCTGGGATTTGAACTCCGGACCCATTAAATCAATC